AACGTGAATATAAAGAATCTAACAGAAAAAGAATAGTTCGTTTTAATTATCATAGCAAGCTAAGTATTAATTTAGATTTAGCAATAAAAGAAGCAAAAATAAAGCTTAGTCATGATTTTTAGTATGAAAAGCCTATAGATACCACAACTCCAGAAGAAATAAAGAATGAAATTATGCATAACCTTCATATAGTTTCTGTGCAGTTGCGAACTTATCTTCATCAAAAATTTGATATTTCGCAAGTAACTATAAAACAAATAAATTATTAGTGGTTAGTTTTAAATCAACATTTTTTTAAATTAGATGAAGATCCTGTTATTTTAGCACATCGTTTCTTAGAAGATTCTCAAAATGATAGTGAGTTTTGTTATAAGTAAAAAGATAATTTAGTTATAGCAATTGGGTTCATAACTCCTTTGCTAAATAAACTCTTACCTGTATTAAATATTTATTGTAATGCAATATATAAAACAGCTAAAAGGAGATTTGAGCTCTATAGAATTATAAGTAATACCTATGGCACAGAGTTTCTAATTACATATTTAATGCTAAATACTACAAATGCATCTGATACTAAGTGAACAGAGCTACATACTAGAGCACTTTCTGGTTTTCTTTTTTCTCTTTGAAATAAGGGACTATAGCTGCAATATTTTTTTACTGACAAAGATCTTGCTCAGATTAATGCTGCAAAAGAAGTGTAGCCCAATATTAGTATACAGCTCTGTTTGTGGCATGTGGAAAAAGCAATTAAAAAAAAATTAAAAAGTCATAATAAAATCAAACATACCCAATATCAACTAGATGAAGCTATCACAGAGTTTAGTTTTATTGACTCTAAGTTTAAACCTGATTTAAGTTGCTCTAAACCTGAATATTATAAAGTATATTCACTAGAGCTATGTGATAAAGTTATTGATATTATTAAAAAGCATTTTAATATGCATCAAAAAATTTCTGTCAATGCTACTGATCAATTTTTGATGGCCAAAGAAATCTATATTAGTGCAGTTCATAAAATTTATAATTTTTGTAAAGAGAATAAACTTGTACTTCTCTAGGCATATTTATAGTCTTCATAGTATAAGATACAAGATAGAAACTTTGGGCTCAATTTGCACAAATAACAATTCCAATAAGCAAGATAAATATAATAATTGAATCATATTGGAAGGTTATAAAGTGTTGTTACCTTTACTGATTTAACTGACTACGTCTAGATTATATTGTATGGATTATCTGTACATATCTTATTTCTGACCAACTTGTTCGTCTTGATCAAATATACCAGAAGCAAATAACTCCATCTTGGTTTGATGACTTTAAAAATAATTAGAAATAGCTTGTTACAAAACAAATTGTTGATAGTGATAATATTCAATATTTTATTAATTCAGAACGTTGAATATGTAGTTGCCTATCTTTTCTTAATTCTTAATTTCTCATTTGTAAATACTTAGTTCAATGAGCAGTTGAAAAAGCAAAATTACTAGATCCCTAAGGTATCAGGTTATTATATAGAAATTTTCAACAGCGAGAGGATTATCCTTTCTTTATTTGAAGTATTAATAAAAAAAATATAGATAATACCGATACTGATATACAGCAATCAACATTTTTATTAACTTCACAGCCTAAATCAGATATTAGTATGGTAAAAATAGATAATAATAAAACTTTTGACTCAGAAATATGCCAGAACTATGAGTACAAAGTTGCAGCTATAAAATGTATAACTAGTTATCTGAAACAAGAGCTTGTAGCAAACAATTTAAATTATGTTACTTGAGTAGTTAATAATATAGATAAATTGTTTATGATATTAAATAATATTAAAACTACACAAAATAGGATAAGGTGAAATCCAACATAGCGAGGATCAACTTCATGGATATTATACTTACAATAAATATTTTTTTGACTTATACTATAATCTTGCAATGAATTAACTTGCTCAAAAAAAAAAAAAAGTTAAAGAGGTCAAACGTTCTAAATTTTGACTGCTAATTCAGTAATTAATATAAAATATAAATTTTAGTTTGTTTGTTATTACCTGACTAAATAGTTTATCACAAACTGAGAGTAGTAGTAGAAATATCCTTTGCACAAAATAGATCTAGCATATGTTTTTATATATAACTTCACATGAAAGTGAAATTATCTCACATAAATAAAATTTAGAGTTTAACTGATTATAGGTTTTTAGCATTAAAGCTTTTTTTTTTTTTTTTTTAAAGCCAACTGTATTTGATTTTTATTTTTCTTTAGTAAATTTGTAAAATCTTGAATGAAAAAATTTGCCTATGATAGCAATAGTTATAAAGAGTATTTTTGTGATATATAAATCGAATACAGTATTATAATATTATAGAGCTAATATAGTATGCGATCGCAATAATCCTGAATATTAGTGCAATAGTAGATTGGAGGGCTAAATAGATATGTGATCAGAAAATCTTACCTATATTTTGTACTCTTCATATTTAATTATATAACTTTAATTATTATATTTTCCTAAACTATAACTTTTGCATTTTTCTAAAGTAGAAGTATTATTATTATTATTATTATCTTTTATTTGCTAGTACTCTATGATAATAGACTTAAACTCTTTTTTTATAACTTTTCTACTTTCTGTTTTTCTTTTTTTCTTAAAAATTATCTATTCTTTTTTTCTTTTATATAAACTCTTTATACTTTATTACTATTTGATTTAGTACTTCTATTTAGTATTTTTTTTATCTTTTTTAAACTATTATATTTTTTTTTTTTGTTATTAAGGTAGCTTTTTTTTTTTTTTTTTTTTAAAGTAGTTTATATTGCTAAGTGAGTTTTATTAGTTTGATATATGGGGTTCTATATGTAGTTCCCCTATAGTTTGTAATTACATGAAGAGTATACAACAAACTACATGTACAACTTTAGTTATTATCTAATTTAAGTAGTCCGCTATGCAGGTATTAGATCACTTGTTAGTACTATACTATGCTGCTATACCTGTAACTTGCCTATGAGTTACCTATTTAAACACTCTATTTAACTAACTTATATTATTACAAACTAACATTACTATAATATCTAACTACTTAAGCTAG